CCCTTCTCGTGACCACTGTCTTTTTCCTTCCTTCTTTCTTTTTTTTTTTTTTAATTTCTGTCCCTGGGAAATTTGTGTTTTGTTTTGTTTTGTAATATAGCAGAGGCAAAACTTTTCTTCCCCTCAGTAGTAAAATACACTGGATACATCACATACAATTTACCATTGTAAGTGTACAGTTCGGTGGCACTAAGTACAATCACATTGTTGTGAGACCATTACCACGATCCATCTCTAGAACTTTTTCATCATCTCAAACTGAAATTCTGACCCCATTAAACACGAGCTCCTCAATGCCCCCTCCCCCAGCCGCTGGGAACCCCCCTCCTACTTTCTGTCTCTATGAATTTGTCTATTCTAGGTGCCTCATAGAAGTGGAAACATACAAGATTTGTCCTTTTGCCTTTGGTTTATTTCACTTAGCATAATGTCTTCAAAGTTTATTCATGTGATAGCATGTGTCAGAATTTCATTCCTTTTTAAGGCCATTGTATATTCAGAGCACATTGTGTTTATCCATTCGTCCACTGATGGACACTTGGGTTGCTTCCACCCTTTGGCTGTTGTGAATAGTGCTGCTGTGAACGTGGGTGTACCAGCATCTGTTTGAGTGCCTGCTTTCAGTTCTTTGGGGTGTATCCGCAGGGGTGGAGTTGCTGCCCTTTTCTTGTACAGTACTTACTACAGCTGCAATGATCACACAGCCGGTTGTGTGGCACAGGCATCTCTGTTTGGGTCACTCACCCCTGTATCCGCAGCCCCGGAGAACAGTACACCACACTGAATAAACATTGTTGAATGAGTGAGTGAAAGTGTCCAACCTTAGTGGGTGGGGCAAAATGTAAGTATCCTGACGAATTTAGGTCTGGGTTAATCTTAGCCCCCAAAGAACAAATCCATGGATCCCCCAAGGATTGACGAAACTTCCAAGAATATCAATTTTACTCATCGTTCAAGAGAAGAAGAAGAATACCAATAACACTTATTGAAAGCTCACTCTGTGCCAGACTTGTGACAAGCACTTTGCCTAAATTACCTCATTTAATCCTCAAAATAACACAGACTTCCCTGGTGGCGCAATGGTTAAGAATCCGCCTTCCAATGCAGGGGACACGGTTTCGAGCCATGGTCCGGGAATATCCCACATGCCACGGAGCAACTAAACCCGTGTGCCACAACTACTGAGCCCGCAGGCCTAGAGCCCGTGCTCCGCAACAAGAGAAGCCACAGCAATGAGAAGCCCACGCACTGCAATGAAGAGTAGGCCCCGCTCGCCACAATGAGAGAAAGCCTGCACCCAGCAACAAAGGCCCAACGCAGCCAAAAATAAATAAATAAAAATTTAAAAACTATATTCCATAATTTTATTTCATTAAAAAAAAATAAAAAATAACCCTAGGCAGTTTACTCTGTATCTCCCTCACGTGTTTCTGGCCTCCCCCAACCCACTCCCCTCTGGCAGCCACCTGTTTGTTCTCTGTCTCTGTATTTGCAGTTCTATTATTATCCCTATTTTACAAGTGAGGGGACCGAGGCATGGAGGGGACTAAGCACCCTGCCCAAAGCCATAGCAGCTGGGAAATGGCTAAAGTGGAATTTTTAGCCAAGACTTTCTGATTCCGGAACTCACACACAAAAACCATTCTCCACTGTTGGGCAGAGAAGCAAAATCAGAGATATTACCGAGTAAAATTCAAAAATTGAATGTCATTTAAAGACAAAGTACACAAGGCAGCAAAGAATGTGTCCTACCTGCCTCAGTGCTCGGGGTGTGAACTCCCTCCCTGGCCCCTTCTCTGAGGACGCTGGGAAGGAGGAGGTTGAGGCTTCTATCCAGGTGGAGACCATGAGGACCACCCACGGCCTCCTGCAGTTCTCAGGCATCTTCTGGAGGATGTGATGGTGCAGAAAGGGAGTGACCTCGTGTTCCACATTTTGAACGTTGGCATCAAATGGGAATGTGTGTGTTGGGTGTGGGGCTGACTGGGTCACAGACCCTGCAGTTAAATGCTATTTTCTTCCCAGGGGAGAAAACCCAGCACCAGTAGAGCCGTCTGCAAACCTCTGCCCCTCCCAGTTCAGCCCCATCTTCCTGGCCAGGCCCTCCTTTTTAGCCACAGTCTCAGTCCAGCCTCACCCTGTGCCTGGAAGGAGGGGAGGTGAAGAAAGGCACTTCTGTGAGTCCCCTGAGTGGGTCGGAGGAGGAGAGGGAGGGGAAAGGATGCGTCTGTCCCTTTCCTCCTGGAGTTGGGGGTTGGGGGGGGATAGTGGGAGGGGTGAGGGGTACGGGACCCAGCTGTCCTTAGTTGCCGAGAGGGGAGAGATGCTCAAGTCCGTTGGTCAGTCTGTCGTTTGGAATTCCGGAGCTCATTTTCCCACAGAAACAAAGCTCAAGTGGCGGCAGGCTCCCCGCCTGGCCCAAAGGAGCCAGACTCAGCTAATAGCAGCACAGCCTCAGAAGACCCTTCACCTTCTTCACACACTGCCATTGTCTGTGACTGGCGGGGCTCACAGATCCTCAGGCAGCTCTGGAGGAAGGGCTCTGGTGGCCGTGGAAACTGGGCCGAGGGCAGCTCTTACACAGGCTTAGCTTTGGGAAGCAGCGCGGGCGCGTATGTGCATGTGTGTTTGGACACTTTTAAGCACACGCCTCAATTTCTTCATCTGGAAACGGTAGTGGTAAAAGAAGACTTGGACTAGATCGATGGTTTTCTAAACTTTCGTCTTTTTAACAGCTTCTCTTTTTGCAAGTCATCTTGGGTAAAATCTGCTCTGATTAAAGTGTTGTTAGGGGCAGTGAGGGGCTCGACCCCTGGTTTCCCCTCCCACCCCTCCAGCCTGCCCTGCCTCATTATACCTCTTCAGAACTCCAGGTGTCCTCAGAGCATGTTTGAAAAGTCACTGGGCTGGATCCACACACACAAATACACAGACATACACCCAGGCAGGCATGAAGACCTATACACTAATGCACACACAACATACAAGCACAGACACACACACAGAGGCAGAGACATAACATAGATACACACAGACACACAAACACACACATAGGCAAAGAGATACACCCGAAAACACAGACTCTCACATACACCCCATCTCTCCGGCTCTAGTATTTTCCTAGAGTCACAGAGGAAGTTCAGGGTTGCAGCTAACACTCCATTCTGGGGCTAACACTGAAACCTAGGGGCGGGCTCAGCCAGCCCCTTGCGAGCTGTGCAGCCCTGGGTGAGCCAGTCCCCTGCTTTGAGCTGTAAATCTGTCAACACTGGGAAGTAGGATTAGGATGCATAAGGTTCGGGACTTCCCTGGTGGCGCAGTGGTTAAGGATCTGCCTGCCAGTGCAGGGGACACAGGTTCGAGCCCTGGTCCGGGAAGATCCCACATGCCTCGAAGCAACTAAGCCCGTGTACCACAATTACTGAGCCTGAGTTCTAGAGCCTGTGAGCCACAACTACCGCAGCCCACGTGCCTAGAGCCCGTGCTCCGCAACAAGAGAAGCCACCGCAATGAGAAGCCCGCACACTGCAAGGAAGAGTAGCCCCCGCTCGCGGCAACTAGAGAAAGCCCGCGTGAAGCAATGAAGACCCAACGCAGCCAAAAAAAAAAAAAAAGATGCACAAGGTTCCATGAGTCTTTGGAAGCTGGCAGTCACTCTGCAAGTGGCAGGGCCTTTGTGGCTGCAGACTTGACTAGTCAGGCCCGAATTCCAACCAGGAAGCGCAGTCCTGTGTAGGGGCCATGTCCATCTAACTCACGTTCCGTGACATGCCAGACCTTGCAGGATCAGGGACCCGAGGGTTCTCTGTAAGGGGAGTGTGTGGGGTGGGGCGTGCCAGGGTGGGGGGTGGGAGGGGCTCTGGGAAAGGTGGGAGGCTCCCATTGGTCCACGTTGTGACAGCGACAGGAGCAGCCTCCCCCATCCACCCCAGGCCCGGGGAGTTGGGGCCCTTGGCTGTCAAGGAAACCGTGTTGAGAACACAGAGCCCCAGGAGCCAGCAGGCCCCGCCCGGAAAAACAACATCCTGGCTTCTGGGGCACCAGCAGGCTCTGTGGGAGGGGTTATTTTTAGCTGGTGAGGCAGCCAGGGCAGGACTTGTATGGCCTTGCCGTCTGGCTGCATAACTCACCCATTGTCCCACCCGACCTTGGGCTCTCTGCCTGCCTCTGCTCTCCAGGCACGGCCCTCCCTGGGGTGCACCTGAGTCACAGACAACCCCAGGAGGAGGGGGCTGGCCTGGGAACACACTCACCTCGTAGCCTCAGGGAGCAAGCCTTCGCCTTGAAAGCAGAACGCGGGCATCCCAAGCTAGGATGGGGGTTCTGGAGCAGCAGGGGCACTGGGCCTTCTTGGGAGAGAGATGGAGGTTCTGCTGGGGCCCAGGGCCCAGGGTCTCCCCCCGCATGGAGGCGAAGCACCGTTCCAGCCGCACAGCTGGTGCGGAGATGGCAGGCAGCTTCCAAAGGAGGACACAGGTCATTTTAGCGTAGACGTTCTCCGCTCCAGCCGCACCCGGAGGTCAGTTCAACCACATCTCTCATGGGCTGAGAAGGTATGTGTATGAAAGAAGCTCTAGGTCTCAAACTTTCTTGCCCATGCCCAGGAGTTATGCCCTGCTCTTGGGGATGTGACGTCTGTATTTACTCCTGGGCACAAACACCATTAGGCAGGTCCAGAACGAGGCTGTGCTATCAAGGATGAAAACAGTGGGTGGGAACCAGGCTGTCCGGAGCAAACACTCGGGCAGCCAGAATGACTGTGGGGCTGGACCCCTCCGGGAGAAGCCACCTCTACCTCTCCCTGTCCAGAACCAGGAAGCAGGTGTGCCCCGAAGGGTAGGCACCCCATTTCAGCCTCCTCTTCCTGGGCCAGGGTTCTCCCTCCCAATAGGAATCTGGGACTAGGGGCTTGTTCCCTTGTCCTGCCTTTCAAGACCTGCTCTTGAAAGATGAGAAGTATTGGGAATCCTTGGTGGGTGGAGAGAAGGGTAGAAAAGGGAGTCATTCATTCGACAATTGTTTATTGAGCACCTACTATGTCCCAGGCACTGTCCCAAGAACCTGGGAGAGGAGGGGTCAGGGTAACCCTTCTCCCAGAAACAAGGCCTGCAGGGGGACAGGGTCTGGGGAGCCTCCTCCCTGAGAGGTGGAAGGCCTTGTATATGGAAGGTGGAGGCCTCTAGAAATGAGAAGCCTGGGGAATGTGTGGGACTCCAAGGCTGGTGTCTTCCCTGGGGCAAAGCAGGGGTGCAGAGAAGCAAGCTTCCCAGGAGCTGCGACTGCAGCGGGAGGAGGCCCCGTGCCCCCTGCATCACCTCCTCTTCAGCACGGATATGCAGGACTTCTTGAGGGGCCCGATCTGCAGATGGGCATCCACGCTCTCCAGGAAGAAGGCGGGCTTGAGCCTGTGTGTGAAGAGCCCCGCAAAGTGGCTGTCCAGGCGGCTCTGGAAGGGGTCAACCGGGGAGGCTGGGGTGCCACTGCGGCGGGCCCGGGAGGTCTTCAGCCTCCGCAGAAGGCTCATCTTGCCATCCCGCACGGCATAGAAGGCCAGGGTTCGGTCAGCATATTCCAGGCAGATCCCGACGGTGGGCGAGAAGGGGTGGGGCAGGAGCAACTCCAGCCCGTGGAACCAGACGGAGAAGCTGCGTCCGTTCCACTGCAGGCAGCAGGAGTGAGCATTGCGTCCAAGCCGGCCCCGGTCGTAGGGCTCTTGCGGGGAGAAGTCTTCAGCCATGACTCCCACGCTGACCCAGCCCTCAATGATCTCCACCTCCCAGTAGTAGGTGCCCCGGTCCAGGGCGCCCTCGCCCAGCACCTGCTCGCAGTGGGTGAAGCGGGTGGGCGACTCGGGGTAGTTGATGGGACACAGCACCCTCTTCACACCCTTGGTTCCAAACAGCTGCAGGAACTTGTCTGCCGTGTCGCTGTCCAGGTCCACGATGTACGCAACTGCTCCCACGGAACAGAGAGAGATGCAGGGCTCAGGTCCAAGGTCAGGTGGGACAGTCCCTCCCCTAGGGGCCCACCTCCCCAAACACAGCCTCTCCCCTCCTCTGCAACTGGCCCTCTGCAAGCAGGCCACCCTGGGGAGCACCCCATGAGCTAACCTAGTTCACTGCATGAATGAGGGACAGGAATCGAAGACCTCATGCGCCAGGGCCCAGCCCAGAAGCCTTGGGAGGGCCCCTTATGAGCAGTGGGGCGAGCCCAGGTGTCGACTTACACTTGAGGAAGTAATCCCTGGGAGCCTCACTCTCCAGGCTGTTGGCGCTTTCGGGGTCCTGGGACTCAGCATCTGCTGCAGAAGAAGAGACAGTGCAGAGGGGGTCTCCCCAGCTGCCCGTGGCTGGGCTGCTGTGCAAGGTGACCGCCCCCCACCGAACCTATGACTGAACTTCCCCTCCTCCCCCTTCCTCCCAGCACCCCAGGCCACCTGGGGACAGGCACACCCCCAAATATGGTACACTGTGTTCACACACATGCCTGGTCCTCGGGCTCTGCCCCCGCTCCACTTCCTCCCTGGGCCTCAGCCCTTCTGAAGCTAGAGGGTGGTCTAGGAGAGGCCTGCTCTGCCCCCTGGGCTGTGGCCAAAGGGGCTGACTTGTGCTCCAGCCATCGGCAGGATTTTGGGTCCCACCCTGAGCCTGGCAGTTTCCATCCTCCACTCCTGAACGGGCACCAGGCCTGGGGGCCCGTGCGGGGAGTCTGGGGAAGGATGAGTCACTTGCGGGGGGCACCCACCTTCCGTGCCTGGCTTCTGCAGCCCATCCTCGTCGCTGCCCAGCCCCTGCAGCTGCTCCCACTGGCTGGTGCAGGCTGAAGCCAGGCCATCTCGTACCACCTGCACGGCCTGGGATGACTTGGTGAAGCTGAGCTCCCTTGGGGGCCCGGGCCCAGGGCCGCACCCCTCCTCCAGGGCCAGCCTGAGCTCCAGGAGCTCCTGTGCCAGACAAACGCCCATTAAGGCCCTGCTGGCCACAGCTCCTCCTGGCTGGGGTGACACGGCGCCGCCAGGGGGCTGGCACAGCCCTGAAGCCCAGGCACCCGCTGCCTTCTCCCTCCGCTTCCCGCCTACCCCCTTCCACGTCCTCTCTGGCATGCAGAGCTGCCCTCACCTGCAGGAAGCTGACCGAGTCGGCTTCAGGGACCTGACCGAGGTTGCGGCGGGCCCGGCTGAGCCGGCTGCGCTGTCCCTCCTGCCGCCGCAGGTCGCCCTGGGAGCGGCCCAGCATGGTCGCCTCCCCCTCGTCGATGAAGGACAGCACCTCTGCCTGAAACCCCTGCAGGACGGCTGCAGCCTCGGCAAACAGCCGGCTCACCCTTTCCCGCTCTGCCACGGCTGCACTCTGCACAGGAGGACAGAGGTGGCGGTGATGAAGGCAAAGAACATCACTTCCCATACCCCACTTTCCCCCCCTGTCCTCTCGGGGGGACAGAAGCACCAGCCCCAGCTGCCCTGGATCTATGTCAGGTCAGGGGAGACACTTGTGCTCACTGGAGCCGGGCAATGCCTTGAGCGTGGGCTTCTTTAGAGTGGACGGTACCATGCTGAAAGCTCACACTGCCAGGAGGATACTGCAGGAGTGAACGGGGGCGGGGGTTAGGATGGGATCGGACCTTGATGAGGGCCACCGTGCGCCGGGACTGTGCGATGCCCGCGCCCAGCTCGTCCATGCGGTCCTCCACAGCGCTCAGGACTTTGGGCTGCTCGGCCTGTGAATGACACCCTTGAGTATGGGGTCTGGCAGAGGTCACAACCCTGCACTGGGGTCCCAGGTCTCACCAAGGGGGGAGGAGAGGGGTGACCTGGGAGGGAGTGGTATCTGGGTATAGGTGGGACTGGGAGTGGCCATGATATGCCAGAGGTGCCTCAAGCCCAGGCTGGTGCCATTCCCGAATGCCCAGGGAGAGGGCAGGCTGGCCAGCTGTGGGTTGCCTGCCTCCCCCCTTTGACTGGGGTGCAAGTAGAGGGCCATCTACGGTCCTCAGTGTTGCTCACATGCATTTGAGAACTTCCTTCAGCGGGGAAGAGGCAGAGAAAGAGAGTGAGGAGGGGGCCCTGCACAAGATGGCATTCAGCTGTCCCGGGCATCATTGTCCCCAAAGAGTCTGTGCCCCCAGCCCAGGCCTGAAAAATAGGGATTCCGGGCAAATCCCCTGGGTCTTATGAGTCACCACGCCAGGCAGGAGAGACGGAAAATCCCAAGGCAGAGGCGCCAAGACCGGGCTGGGGGCCAAAGGAAACTGGGGGCGGAGGTAATCGGCCAGGCAGCGTGTACATGCTCCCGCCACGGCCCCCGGAACAGCTGGACAGAGCGGTCTGTGTGCTCGGACCACCCTCTGCAGCACTCCTTTCGCCTGCCACACCCATCCAAACCCTCAGCCCAGGCAAACGGGGATCTGCAGGAGCTCGGCCGGCCGGCGCAGCAGCTGCGCGGCGGAAATCAGCCGCCTGGGACCACGTGGGCTTAACCCGGTTCCCGGCTGTTTAAACCCCCAAGGGCCCCCGCTCCAGCCTCAGGCCCCCAGCCCGCCCATCTTTTTCGAGTTCTCACTGGGTCCCTCCAACCCCCATTCTTGTCCCGAGCGCAATGTCCCACAGCGAGAGGAGGCCGTCAGGGCTGGAAGGGACCGCAAAAATCCTCAGATTAGAGGAGGGAATTAAGGATGAGGGTGAGGGGTCCCCGGCCCTCGGCCGCCACGCGAGGCCCGTCGCCCGCCCGCCCTCCGCGCCCGCGCCCCACCTCCTGGAGCGCGCGCTCCTGCTCCAGCGACACGAGTTCGTGGCCCCGGTGCTCCTGGGCGGCACAGGCCTCACACAGGCACACTCGCTCCGCGCGGCAGTAGCGCTCGAGCGGCCGCAGGTGGCGCGGGCACAGGCTCTCCTCCAGCCGGCGCAGCGGCGGCACCAGGCGGTGTCCGCGCAGCGCGGGGCTGCGCTCGTGCGGGCCTAGGTGCGCGGGGCAGAAGGAGGCGAAGCAGGAGAGGCAGGAGAGCGCGGCGGGTAGGGCGGCGCCCTCGGGGCACGCGTCGCAGCGCACCGGCTCTTCGCCCGCCGGCCACGGCTCCGGCGCACAGGGAGCCGACGGCTCCGGGGCGCTGGGCGGCGCACTGGGCGCCACACTGGGCGGCGCACTGGGCGCCACCGGGTCGGGGGCCCGGGCCGGGCCGGGGCCGGGCCCCGGGCCGGAGCCCTGGCGGAGCTGCAGCAACTCAGACAGCGTGTGGTTCTTGCGGAGCTGCAGGCCGTCGGGGAAGGGCTCCTGGCACAGCGGGCAGCGGGCCGTGCCTCCTGGCCCGCCGGCGCCACCCGCGCCGCGGTGCGGCCAAAGCGCGCCCAGGCAGGCGAGGCAGAAGTTGTGGCCGCAGGGCAGCGTCACTGGCTCCCGGAGCGACTCCAGGCAGATGGGGCAGCTGAAGGGGCCGCTGCCGTCCATGGCTCCTCGGTCGCGAGGCACCGCCTGTGCTGCTCCCGTCTGGGAGGGACCCGGACTGTTCGCGATGCGGCGCCGCCCCTGGGACCGAGGCCAAGGATCCGGCCCCCGCCCGCCGCCCGGCTCGGACCGCCCCCCAGCGCCACAGGCCCGCCCGCCGGCCCTGACACCCAGCCCCAGCCCGGAAAGCGCGGAGTGGCCTCTGGGCCCCGTCTGACCCCTAAGGGTTCCTGGACGAAAGGGCTGTGAGAGAGAGAGGGCAGAGAGCTGAGAAGGCAATGCGGGGGACACGCTGAAAGCAGGGAAGGAGTTCACTCCTCCATGACCCCCCATAAACTCCCCCACCCCGTGGCCAGCCAGGAGGGGCTGGGTGACCCCACTGTGTTCCGCAGGCACCTTTGCACTCCAGACCCCTCCGCAGCACCTTTAAGCAAAGTTGCTGAGCTGCTGAAGGCGGGGGTGGGGGGAAACTGCTGATATGCGCATGTTTTTGCCCCTGTTTAACCCGGGTGGGAAACTTGGGCTTCTCTAAACTTGAAATGGGAAGTTGATATCCTCCAGGTCCAACGTCCTGGGAATTCAGTTACGGTCCACCGACACTCATGTGGTGTGCCTGGGGCTAGGGATGTGGGTTCCCCAAGTGGAGGCATTTGCTGAGACTCCTTCAACTATGCACTCAAAATGGTGCATTTTATTATACATAAACTATACCTCGATAATGTTAAATTTAAAAAAATAGAATGGCAACAAAATAACAAAAGTAGCATTGGGTTGTAACCCAAAGTATAAAATAAACATCCATGAGTTCATGCTGGTGTAAATAAATGACTGGATAAATAAATAAATGAGGGAGAATGGACAAATTTCCCATTCAGAGGAATTCCAAAAAGTTTTGGTAAATACTCCAAGGTGGAGAATGGCTTCCCACTCCTTAAGTATAGACGGTGCATAGTGACTTTCTTCCAAAGGGAGCAGAAGAGTAACTTTACAATGGAGAAACCTGATGAAAACCACATCAAGGTCAACGTCAACAGTGATAAGTCATGTCGGCAGTAAGTACCCTTGATATGATGTGGTCTTCCTACCCAGAAGTCCATAATCCCACTCTAATTATGACTAAAACTTTAGACAAATCCCAATAAGACACAGACTACACAGCACCTGACCAGAACCCCTTGAAACTGTCAAGGTCATCAAACAAAAGCAGGGAAAGTCTGAAAAATTGTCACAGCCAAGAGAAGCCCAAGGAGACATGATAACTAAATGTAATGTGTATTCTGGACGTGTTCCTGAGAGAGAAAAAGGATGTTAGGGGGAAACTAAGGCAATTTGAATAAATTATGGAATATAGCTAATTGGGGCAATGCTTCCTACCCCCAGGCCTGCAGACTTCTGCTGATGAGAGGCCAAAGTGGAAGGAATAAAGTGGTGGAGAGGATTGATCCACCTAGAGGTGGGGATTAGCCTTTCTTGCTCTGCCAGGGGGCCCTCTTGAAGCCTGGTGTAGTCTCAGAAGCCTTTCCAGAATAATGCTTTTAAATGCACAAAATAAAATGCAGAAGATTCCATGGCAACCAATTACATTGAAATACAGGTTCAAAATACAAAGAAAGAAATTTGTGATAAAGTAATATATGTGTTTCTTTAACACAAGAACAAATAACAAGATCTGATGGAGGCCTAAGAATTACTGTATTTTTGAAATAGTGATGAATGTAAACATATTTCAAGTTCTCTGTCACCTCTGTAATGTGCAATGAAAAATCTGTAAGTTTTTTTTTAATTTAATTTTATTTAGTTTTTATGCAGAAGGTTCTTATTAGTTATCTATTTTACACATATTAGTGTATACATGTCAATCCAATCTCCCAATTCATCCCCACCCCCCGCCACTTCCCCCCTTGGTGTCCATATGTTTGTTCTCGACATCTGTGTCTCAATTTCTGCCCTGCAAACCGGTTCATCTGTACCATTTTCCTAGGTTCCACAAACATGCGTTAATATACGATATTTGTTTTTCTCTTTCTGACTTACTTCACTCTGTATGACAGTCTCTAGATCCATCCACGTCTCAACAAATGACTCAATTTTGTTCCTTTTTATGGCTGAGTAATATTCCATTGTACATATGTACCACATCTTCTTTATCCATTCTTCTGTCGATGGGCATTTAGGTTGCTTCCATGACCTGGCTATTGTAAATAGTGCTGCAATGAACACTGGGATGCATGTGTCTTTTTGAATTATGGTTTTCTCTGGGTATATATGCCCAGTAGTGGGATTGCTGGATCATATGGTAATTCTATTTTTAGTTTTTTAAGGAACCTCCATAGTGGCTGTATCAATTTACATTCCCACCAACAGTGCAAGAGGGTTCCCTTTTCTCCACACCCTCTCCAACATTTGTTGTTTGTAGATTTTCTGATGATACCCATTCTAACTGGTGTGAGGTGATACCTCATTGTAGTTTTGATTTGCATTTCTCGAATAATTAGTGATGTTGAGCAGCTTTTCATGTACTTCTTGGCCATCTGTATGTCTTCTTTGGAGAAGTGTCTATTTAGGTCTTCTGCCCATTTTTGGATTGGGTTGTTTGTTTCTTTAATATTGAGCTGCATGAGCTGTTTATATATTTTGGAGATTAATCCTTTGTCTGTTGATTCATTTGCAAATATTTTCTCCCATTCTGAGGGTTGTCTTTTCGTCTTGTTTATGGTTTCCTTTGCTGTGCAAAAGCTTTGAAGTTTTCATTAGGTCCCATTTGTTTATTTTTGTTTTTATTTCCATTACTCTAGGAGGTGGATCAAAAAAGATCTTGCTGTGATTTATGTCAAAGAATGTTCTTCCTATGTTTTCCTCTAAGAGTTTTATAGTGTCTGGTCTTACATTTAGGTCTCGAATCTATTTTGAGTTTATTTTTCTGTATGGTATTAAGGAGTGTTCTAATTTCATTCTTTTACACATAGCTGTCCAGTTTTCCCAGCACCACGTATTGAAGAGACTGTCTTTTCTCCATTGTAAATCCTTGCCTCCTTTGTCATAGATTAGTTGACCATAGGTGTGTGGGTTTATCTCTGGGCTTTCTATCCTGTTCCATTGATCTATAGTTCTGTTTTTGTGCCAGTACCATATTGTCTTGATTACTGTAGCTTTGTAGTATAGTCTGAAGTCAGGGAGTCTGATTCCTCCACCTCCGTTTTTTTCCCTCAAGACTGCTTTGGCTATTCGGGGTCTTTTGTGTCTCCATACAAATTCTAAGATGTTGTGTTCTAGTTCCATAAAAAATGCCATTTGTAATTTGATAGGGATTGCATTGAGTTTGTAGATTGCTTTGGGTAGTATAGTCATTTTCACAATATTGATTCTTCCAATCCAAGAGCATGGTATATCTCTCCATCTGTTGGTATCATCTTTAATTTCTTTCATTAGTGTCTTATAGTTTTCTGCATACAGGTCTTTTGTCTCCCTAGGTAGGTTTATTCCTGGGTATTTTATTCTTTTTGTTGCAATGGTAAATGGGAGTGTTTCCTTAATTTCTCTTTCAGATTTTTCATCATTAGTGTATAGGAATGCAAGAGATTTCTGTACATTAATTTTGTATACTGCAACTTTACCAAATTCATTGATTAGCTCTAGTAGTTTTCTGGTAGCATCTTTAGGATTCTCTATGTATAGTATCATGTCATCTGCAAACAGTGACTGTTTTACTTCTTCTTTTCCAATTTGTATTCCTTTTATTTCTTTTTCTTCTCTGATTGCTGTGGCTAGGACTTCCAAAACTATGTTGAATAATAGTGGTGAGAGTGGACATCCTTGTCTTTTTCCTGATCTGAGAGGAAATGCTTTCAGTTTTTCACCATTGAGAATGATGTTTGCTGTGGGTTTGTCATATATGGCCTTTATTATGTTGAGGTAGTTTCCCTCTATGCCCACTTTCTGGAGAGTTTTTATCATAAATTGGTGTTGAATTTTGTCAAAAGCTTTTTCTGCATCTATTGAGATGATCATATGGTTTTTCTTCTTCAATTTGTTAATAAGGTGTATCACATTGATTGATTTGCATATATTGAAGAATCCTTGCATCCCTGGGATAAATCCCACTTTATCATGGTGTACAATCCTTTTAATGTGTTGTTGGATTCCGTTTGCTAGTATTTTGTTGAGGATTTTTGCATCTATATTCATCAATGATATTGGTCTGTAATTTTCTTTTTTTTTTTTTTTTGCGGTACGCAGGCCTCTCACTGTTGTGGCCTCTCCTGTTGCGGAGCACAGGCTCTGGACGCACAGGCTCAGCGGCCATGTCTCACGGGCCCCACTCCATGGCATGTGGGATCTTCCCAGACCAGGGCATGAACCCATGTCCCCTGCATTGGCAGGCAGACTCTCAACCACTGTGCCACCAGGGAAGCCCGTAATTTTCTTTTTTTGTAGTATCTTTGTCTGGTTTTGGTATCAGGGTGATGGTGGCCTCATAGAATGAGTTTGGGAGTGCTCCTTCCTCTGCAATTTTTTGGAAGAGTTTGAGAAGGATAGCTGTTAGCTCTTCTCTAAATGTTTGATAGAATTCACCTGTGAAGCCATCTGGTCCTGGAGTTTTTGTTTGTTGGAAGATTTTTAATCACAGTTTCAATTTAATTACTTGTGATTGGTCTGTTCATATTTTCTATTTCTTCCTGTTCAGTCTTGGAAGGTTATACCTCTCTAAGAATTTGTCCATTTCTTCCAGGTTGTCCATTTTATTGGCATAGAGTTGCTTGTAGTAGTCTCTTATGATGTTTTGTATTTCTGCAGTGTCGTAACTTCTCCTTTTTCATTTCTAATTTTATTTGAGTCCTCTCCCTCTTTTCCTTGATGAGTCTGGCTAATGGTTTTTCAATTTTGTTTATCTTCTCAAAGAACCAGGTTTTAGGTTTATTGATCTTTGCTATTGTTTTCTTTGTTTCTATTTATTTCTGCTCTGATCTTTATGATTTCTTTCCTTCTGCTAACTTTGGGTTTTGTTTGTTCTTCTTTCTCTAGTTCCTTTAGGTGTAAGTTTAGATTGTTTATTTGAGA